TAGACCTCATCATGAGGCATCTCAATATTTGTCTTATGGACAGAAGAATTTGATATTTGCAAAGTATGGTGTATATTGGCGTAACATGCGCAAATTGTGCATTGTACACCTTTTGAGCAATAACAAGATCAATTCATTTCAATCCATGAGAAAACAAGAAGTTGAACTTCTTATTGAGTCGCTTAAAAAGGAAGCTCATGATCGTGTAGCTGTTGATCTTAGTGCAAAGATTACGTCCTTGAATGCTAACTTGACTTGCTTAATGGTGTTTGGAAAGAAGTACATGCATGAGGACTTGGACAAGAGGGGATTCAAATCTGTTGTTCAAGATGTTGTGCATTTAGCAGCAATGCCAAATCTTGGTGATTTTTTCCCCTCCCTTGGTGCTATTGATCTCTAGGGTCTCACTCGCAAGCTCAAGGATCTTTTGAAGGTGTTTGATGAGTTCCTTGAGAAGATTATTGATGAACATGTTCATTCACATGACCAGAAGCAAACCAAGGACTTTGTGGACACCATGATGGACATAATGCAATTTGGAGAAGCGGAATTTCAGTTTGACCGTCGTCACATAAAAGCTATCCTCTTTGTATATACTTTCATCCCATTTTGTCATATATACCACAAGCCTTGAGAATGAAATGGTTTGTACTACTAATTTATTCCTCTGTTTCCTTTTTACTATACAGGACAAGCTTATAGCTGCAATGGATACTACAGCATCATCAACGGAATGGATACTGACAGAACTTCTTAGACATCCCCAAGTGATGAAGAAACTCCAAAAGGAGTTGCAAGAAGTGGTAGGCCTTGAAAGAATGGTTGAAGAATCCGACCTGGAAAATTTGAAGTACTTAAACATGGTTGTAAAAGAGGGCCTGAGGCTGCATCCTGTAGTGCCACTATTTTATCATGAGTCTATGGAAGATTGTGTAGTCGACGGTTTCCACATACAAAAGGGATCCCGAGTCATGGTAAATTGTTATGCAGCTCAAAGAGATCCAAATGTTTGGCCTGAGCCTGAGAAGTTTTTGCCTGAGATTTGTTGGAAGCTGTATAGATTTTCGTGGACGGGACTTTCAACTTGTACCATTTGGCTCTGGGAGAAGAAGTTGTCCTGGAATGCAGCTGGCAGTTATCGTCATCCGCCTTGTGGTGGCACAGTTGGTGCATTGCTTTGAGTGGGAGCTTCCAAATGGTATGCAGCCTTGTGATTTAGACATTGATGAGAAGTTTGGGATAGTAACATGCAGAGAAAGGCCTTTAATGGCTATTCCTACTTACAATCAAAACAAATGATGCAAATACAAGAGAAGTAATATTTCTAAACTTTAGATTTTATTACAAGCAATATTAAATAGTTTCTACTATATGGTTTTTGAGATTGTTGTGTGCTTCTCCTAATATTCAAATAAAATACTTCATTGGCGGTACATCAGCTTTCATTTTTACACATCATTAAGGAAAATGAAAAACAATGTATAACTAATCTAATTAAACAAATGTACAATGCCTTCTTCAACCTCAAAGAGCGGTTTCTGATAACAACTCAATAACCTAAGGACTAACTCTAGTACTTCAGTCTCTACAGATTACTCAAACTGCATCACCCATTCGAAGACTATAAACTCTAGTCTCTCAAGTGTAATCAGCTTGACTATGAAGCAGTGATTTGTAAAAACAAATTTGAGAACCATGAAACAAATGCATGTGTGATCAATGAAAAAAAAAGAAGACGACAATCTTTTTATTTAAATATGTATCTCAAGTATGATTTCAATAAATTTTTGATGGATTTGATAGAGGTTTGCACAAACCACATGACTTATGATAAGAATTAATATAGAGAATTAAAATCTATTGAAATATTCAAAGTTAGGATGAAAAATGGTGAATTGATTTTCGTTAAAGGAAATGAATTGTTGTCATCAAAAGAAATTTAGGTAATGAGGCAATTTCTGATTTTCTTTATATACTTGATATTGATCAAAACTCGTTGAGTATTCATCAGGGCCGGCTCTTGCCTATAAAATTTTAGGCATTGGCCTTAGGCCCCCAATTTTTGGGGGCCTCAAATTTTTATAAATAAAAAATTATGTATCTTAACCCCATTCAAATAGAAGAAATTAAGGAAATATTGTTTTGGATTCTTACATTTTCTTCGTTAACACTCACATTATTTATCCTTTGTAACTCTTTTTGCACTCTATTTCTTCAAATCTTTGATAGTTAGAGTAATACACTCTCAAAAATATGAATCAATAGTCGAAAAGTGTTGAACAAAGTGCATTACAATTTTATTTTTTTAATTTATTTGTTAGTTTTCATATTAAAGTAGGTATACCAAGTTATCAACTTTTTGAATCAAATTCTATGATTCTAACTCTTATCTTTAAAGTTTATCAACTTATTACTTATAAAATTGTGTTAATAATTCATATAATAATTGTCTCAATAAAAGGATGTTTTTCAATGTTGAATTGATAAAATCTTACTTAAAACTAATAATTAAAAAAAAAGTGTTTGAAAAATCATTTATATAAAAGATATTAAGTAGTAATTTACGTCTAGAAATTTAGAACAATAAATAGATATAGATAAAATTTATATAAATTTTAGGCCTCTAATAATAATTTCGCTTTAGGCCACAAATTATGTTGAGCCGCCCCTGGTATTCATCCGTTGGTAGAAAAAAAATATAAAGTATTCTTCGACAACAAGCATTGCTTCGTTAATGATGGTGTTGAAAAAAAAAGAGTTTAAACATTAAGATGAGATGCAAACATTTCTCTTTTGATCCAATATAAGGTGGAAAAATTAGAAGATGATCCTCCAATTGAAAAGGCACAAGCAAAATGTGAATCTGATAGGTTTTTAAAGGCGCTTTAAATGTTTCCAAAGAAATTGAAGCAATGGAGGAGTTATCTATGTTTCAGAATAATAAAATGGATAAGTTTAAACTTAAGATGTAAATGAAGAGGAAGATATGTGTAACATCCGACAATTTGAAATAACTATGAAGAGGCTTAGAATTGGAAAATTTCATTTTTGGAAAGAATTCAAATATCTGGAAAAATTGGCTAAGTATGGAAAATAATGAATTTTTGTCCAACTTTGAACAGTTATAACTCCTAGTTCAGGATGATCTAGGTGTAGTTCCAGTTATGGTTGCAAAGTTCGTGGATAAGTCGTTCCAACGCCAACGAGTTTGCTCGTTTCTAAGTTCGTATGAGCGAGTTATGCCCTTTGAAAGTTGGGCAATTGGCAGGGAATCCATCCGGAAATTGTAAGGGTATTTTGGTCTTTTCCCTAGCCTTGTCTTTGGATATATATTAAGGTGTAAGACTGATTTTTGATCAGTTTTTCCCTTTTTAAAAAGAGTAAGAGTTAGGGTTCTTGAGAGAAAAGGAGAGAAAGGAGAAGAAGAAGCAAACTTCGTAAAGATCGTCGTGTTTTTCTTCGGGGGTGATCCCTATTTAGGTATGTGAGTTCATAGTGTTGGGTTGGTTCTTTCCCCCACACGCCAAGCTCGTTTAATTTCGAGAAAAGATTGATTATGTTTGATTGAAGTTGTTGGTTGGAATTGTTGAAGTTGTAGTTGTGTTGTGTTGTAGTCCTTATTGTTTTGGTGTATGTTTCCGGTGGTGTTTCTGAGTTGAATCTATTGTATGTTGAGAGGTTTATGATTTTAAGTGCTTGGGGCTGGAAACTTTGATGTGTAGAAGGTTTAGAGTTGGAGAAAACTAATGAGAAAAGTTGCTTTTCGAGGAAAAAGGGTGGGGCGTCGCGCCTGTCAGCGCGCCCCAAGAGGGGCTCTGAATTTTCCCCCTTGGGGCGGCGCGCCCATCAGTGCGCCAGCAGGCCTCCTCTGAAGTTTTTAGTTTGGCGCTCCGCGCCTCTTAGAGCGCCAAGTCTTCCCATTCCTTCCCCACTTTTTTCATACATGTTCCTAGGTATTGTACCTATGTTTCATAGTTATTTCCGACACTCCAAGGTACGTTTAAACGTCAAGAACTCGTCCATAACACGTGATCAAACACCTTGAATCCATGATTCCAACTCAAGAAGAGTTAGTTTCCAAGTCAAGTGAAGTTAAGAGTTGAGTTTAGAAGTTAAAGAAGTGAGTCAAGGTAAGTCTTTAAAGTCGTTCAAGAGTCTTTATTGAATGTTTTAACTTCATTTTAAGGCTCAAGTTTCAAGTCAAGTAAAGAGTAAGAGTCAAGAGTTTCAAGTTGAGTAAAGAGTTTAAAGTTGAGTTCATTTCTCAAATGTTATTAGGGAACTATGTAAACCCAAAGAAGTTTCTAAATGTTTTTACATTTGAGTAAGAAAGGAACTATGATTCCAAAAGAGCCTTTGGGCTAGTTTTCAAGAAAAAGGAACATCGATTCCAAGTGAGCCTTCGGGCAAAGTTTTGAGTAATTATCTCAAATAAAGAAAGATGTGTTTAAAACACTTATGAGATAAGTATTTTTGGGTGTAGTCTTGAGCATCGAATTAGGGACACGAGTTCATATTAATTCAACTCTCCATAAGAACCATGCGCCAACATGGGAGTTAACGGGTCATACTTTTTAGATGAATCCGTAAGATTAAGCTAGTGGATCCACTTAGTAAAGTTAGCTTCCTATATCACGGCAAGGTATAGGATGGTCCTTGGGCAACGTGAGGTAAAACGTTGTATCACCACTAGGGCTCATAGTGGTGATTGTCGGTTAAAGAATCTCCCACTAAAGTTATATTACTTTTATATAAGTAAAGTTGAGTTTGTTATCGTTTTATCCTTAACGAACTAAGTTGTTTACACTATTTTTTTTCAAGCTTTATAGATTACATGTGTCTTATTGCTTTATATATTGAGTTTAGTTATTCGTGAGTTGAACAGAGCCAAGGTAAGAGTTCCTTTGTACTCCTTCCAAGCTTAAGTTGTGGTTTAGCTTTCCAGCTCGCATACTTGTACATTTAATGTACTGATGCCAGTTGGCCTGCATCTTATGACGATGCAGACACAGGTACCCAGGGTCAGCATTCAGTACGCAGTTGATCCAGTTGAGCACTCCAGAGTCAGTGGTGAGCCTCTTTGTGTTCCAGAGGACTCGATTATGTTGTTCTTTTAGTTTTGTTTTATTAGGTATTTTCGGGGTCTGTCGCAACATCCATCTCAGTATTATAGAGGCTTCATAGATAGTCAGTCAATTGGTTTTGAGTCTCTCATCTATGCATAAATGTAAATATTCTATTTTGGGACTCGAATTGCCTTTTTGGCCAGATTTTTATCAGTTAGGTTGTTTTATAACCTTACATTGCATTGAGTTATGTTGTCGAGTTAAGTTTCCGCTGAGTTAAGAAAGCCAGGCCAAGGGTTAGCTTGGGGGCCAGCAATGGTCTTCGAGTGCCGGCCACGTCCAGGGTGTAGGTTCGAGGCGTGACAAACTTGGTATCAGAGCAAGCTCCAGAGTCATAGGGAGTCTATGAAGTCGTGTCTGTAGAGTCCTAGTTATCGGTGTGAAGCGCGCCACATCTATAATTGGGAGGCTGCAACATTTAGGAAGATTTCTCACTTCTTTCACACTCATCTCGTGCGTTAGAGTTGATCTCTAAAAAGTTTCTGTCTAATCCGTGCTTACGCATGTTTCAGATAGTCATACCTCCACGAAGAGTTGGCAGATGGCGTCTTCCTAGACATTATGTTGATGAGCAAGAGTTACCATATGCCCCGGGAGTGCAACCACAAGGGGAAGTTTCTAACGCCGAGTTCAGAGAGGCAATTAGAATTCTGAGTCAAGCTGTAACAAATCAGATTGGTCAGCAAAGGGGAATTCGACAGGAAGGAACTGACACTTCTAGGATTCATGAGTTCTTGGGGATGAATCCTCCGAGTTTCATGGGTTCAAGCACTACTGAGGAGTCAGAGAACTTCATTGAAGAGTTCAAGAAGATTTTTTATGTGATGCATGTGGCAGATACTGAGCGGGTTGAACTAGCTGCGTATCAATTGAAAGATGTTGCTAGAACTTGGTTCGACCAATGGAAAGGAGGCAGAGTTGAGAATGCACCACCTGCGAGTTGGGCCTGTTTTAAGGAAGCTTTCTTGGGGAGTTTCTTTCCTCAAGAATTGAAAGAGGCCAAGGTACGTGAGTTCCTCACACTTAAGCAGGAGTCTTTGAGTGTTAATGAGTACCGTCTGAAGTTCACACAACTTTCCCGTTATGCTCTGGAGATAGTTGCGGACATGAGGAGTATAATGAGTTTGTTTGTTGCTGGACTGTCTCGATTGTCGAGTAAAGAAGGTAGGGCTGCAATGCTTATCGAGGACATGGACATATCAAGGTTGATGGTCTATGTGCAGCAAGTTGAGGAAGAAAAACTGAGGGACAGAGAAGAGTTCAGAAATAAGAGAGCTAAGATCGGTAATGAGTCCGGGTAGCAAAAAGATAATGTGAACCGTCCGTCCTTTCAACAAAGGCAAAGGGGACCTGTTCCATCATCTGCTAGTGCACCTGTACCCAGAAATAAAAGTGAGTACACTGGACAGAGTTCGCGGAATTTCAGAGCTGGACCTGCACAGTCTCAGAATAGTGTGGCACAAGGATGTAACCAGGTTCTTGCATATGCTAGGTGTGGTAGAGTCCATCCAGGGATGTGTCGTCAAGGCCAAACGGGTTGCTTTAAGTGTGGACAAGAGGGTCACTTCATGAAGGAGTGCCCAAAGAACAAGCAAGGTAGTGGAAATCTGGGCAGTAGAGCCCAATCTTCTTCAGTTGTCCCACCAGACAGGATGGCACCTAGAGGAGCTACTTCTAGTACCGGTGGAGGAGCAAATCGCCTCTATGCTATCACCAGTCGCCACGAGTAAGAGAACTCTCCGAATGTTGTCACTGGTATGATCAAAGTCTTTGTTTTTGATGTGTATGCTTTGCTAGACCCAGGAGCAAGTTTATCTTTTGTAACTCCTTATGTTGCAAATAAGTTTGATGTTCTTACTGAAAGACTTTGTGAACCCTTTTGTGTTTCTACACCTGTTGGGGAGTCTATTCTAGCAGAAAGAGTTTATCGTGATTGTCCTGTTTCCATCAATCACAAGAGCACCATGGCTGATTTGGTTGAGTTAGACATGGTAGATTTCGATGTCATTCTAGGTATGGATTGGCTTCATGCTTGTTATGCATCGATAGATTGTAGAACTCGAGCAATCAAGTTTCAGTTTCCGAGTGAGCTAGTCATAGAGTGGAGTAACAGTTCAGCAGTGCCTAAGGGTAGTTTTATTTCGCACCTTAAGGCGAGAAAGTTAGTCTCAAAGGGTTGTATCTATCATTTAGTCCGAGTTATTGACTCTAGTGTTGAGATACCTCTTTTGCAGTCAGTTCCTATAGTAGGAGAGTTTCCAGAAGTGTTTCCTGATGATCTACCCAGAATTCCTCCTGAGAGAGAGATAGAGTTCGGCATAGATCTCATTCCAGATACTCGGCCTATCTCTATTCCTCCATATAGAATGGCAGCAGCAGAGTTGAAAGAGCAGTTGAAAGATCTCCTAGAAAAGGGTTTCATTCGACCGAGTGTCTCACCTTGGGGTGCTCCAGTCTTGTTTGTGAGAAAGAAAGATGGTTCTCTTAGGATGTGTATAGATTACCGCCAATTGAATAGGGTTACCATCAAGAATAAGTACCCTCTTTCGAGGATTGATGATCTTTTCGATCAGCTACAGGGTGCCACTTGTTTTTCGAAGATTGACCTCAAATCAGGATATCACCAGTTAAGAGTAAGAGAGTGTGATATTCCAAAGACAGCATTCAGAACCAGATATGGTCATTTTGAGTTTTTAGTTATGTCCTTTGGGTTGACCAATGCACCGACAGCTTTCATGGACCTTATGAATAGAGTTTTCAAACCTTATTTAGATGTGTTTGTTATCATTTTCATTGATGACATACTAATCTATTCAAGGAATGAAGAAGATCATGCTAGTCATCTCAGACTAGTCCTTCAGACTTTGAAAGCTAAGGAGTTGTATGCTAAGTTCTCTAAATGTGAGTTTTGGCTTAAGTCTGTGGCGTTCCCAGGCCACATTGTGTCCGGTGATGGTATTAAATTGATACTCGGAAAATTGAGGCAGTGCAAAATTGGCCTAAACCCACATCTCCAACAGAAATTAAGAGTTTCTTGGGATTAGCTGGCTATTATAGAAGGTTTGTTGAGGGGTTCTCGTCTATTGCATCTCCTTTGACAAAGTTGACTCAGAAGACAGTGAAGTTTCAATGGTCTGAAGCTTGTGAGAAAAGCTTTCAGGAATTGAAAAAGAGGTTGATTATAGCTCCAGTCTTGACTTTACCAGAAGGTACTCAAGGTTTTGTGGTGTATTGTGATACATCTAGAGTTGGTTTGGGTTGTGTCTTGATGCAGAATGGCAAAGTTATAGCTTATGCCTCCAGACAGTTGAAAGTTCATGAGAAGAACTACCCAACCCATGACTTAGAGTTGGCTGCTGTAGTGTTCACTTTGAAGATATGGCGTCATTACTTGTATGGTGTGCATGTTGACATATTCACTAATCATAAGAGCCTTCAATATGTGCTTACTCAGAAAGAGCTTAATCTCAGACAGAGGAGGTGGTTAGAATTACTTAAGGACTATGACCTGAGTATTCTTTATCACCCAGGTAAGGCTAATGTTGTTGCTGATTCTTTAAGCAGGTTGTCTATGGGTAGCACCGCCCATATTAAAGAAGAGAAGAGAGAGTTAGCAAAAGATGTGCACAGACTGGCACGACTGGGAGTCAGCCTTATAGACTCCGCTGAAGGGGGAATAGAAGTGACGAGCAGGGCCGAGTCATCACTAGTGTCGGAAGTGAAAGAGAAACAAGACCAAGATCCCATTTTTCTTGAGTTGAAGGCAAATGTTCAAAGCCAAAGAATACTAGCTTTTGAACAAGGGGGAGATGGTGTTTTGAGATTTCAAGGTAGATTGTGTGTACCTATGGTAGATGGACTCCAAGAGAGGATTATGGAGGAAGCTCATAGCTTCAGATATTCCATTCATCCGGGTTCTACAAAGATGTATTGTGACTTGAGAGAAGTTTATTGGTGGAATGGCATGAAGAAGGACATTGCAGAGTTTGTTGTTAAATGTCCAAATTGCCAACAAGTGAAAGTTGAACACCAAAGGCCCATTGGTTTAGCTCAGAGGATAGAACTTCCAGAATAGAAGTGGGAGATGATCAATATGGATTTCATCACAGGGTTGCCAAGGTCTCACAGGCAACATGATTCTATTTGGGTGATTGTCGACAGAATGACAAAATCAGCCCATTTTCTACCGGTAAAGACTACCAATTCAGCAGAAGACTTTGCCAAGTTGTATATTCAAGAGGTGGTGAGACTTCATGGAGTCCCAATCTCCATTATTTCATATAGAGGTGCACAGTTCACTGCACAGTTCTGGAAATCTTTTTAGAAAGGCTTGGGTTCCAAGGTGAACTTGAGTACTGCCTTTCATCCTCAGACTGATGGGCAAGCAGAGCGTACTATTCAGACTTTAGAAGATATGTTGAGGGCTTGCGTGATCGATTTCAAAGGTAATTGGAAAGATCACCTACCTCTCATTGAGTTTGCCTACAACAACAATTATCACTCTAGCATCCAAATGGCTCCATACGAAGCTCTTTATGGGAGACGATGTAGATCTCCTATTGGATGGTTTGAAGTTGGTGAAGCAGGATTGATAGGACCAGATTTAGTTCACCAAGCTATGGAGAAGGTGAAAGTGATTCAAGAGAGATTGAAAATGGCACAGAGTCGCCAGAAATCCTACACTGATGTTAGAAGAAGGGCGTTAGAGTTTGAAATAGATGATTGGGTATATTTGAAAGTTTCACCCGTGAAAGGGGTTATGAGGTTTGGTAAGAAGGGGAAACTTAGTCCCCGGTATATTGGACCTTACCGCATAGCCAAGAGAATTGGCAATGTTGCATATGAGTTGGATTTGCCGCAGGAACTAGCAGCGGTTCATCCGGTATTTCATATCTCCATGTTGAAAAAGTGCATAGGTGATCCTTCATTGATCCTGCCGACTGAAAGTGTTAGGATCAAGGATAACTTATCTTATGAGGAGATTCCTGTTCAGATTTTAGATCGTCAAGTTCGTAGGTTGAGAACGAAAGATGTAGCCTCAGTTAAGGTCTTTTGGAGGAACCAATTTGTTGAGGAAGCCACTTGGGAAGCCGAAGAGGACATGAAGAAGAGATACCTATATCTCTTTGAATTCGGAGAAAATGCAGACCAAGGTACTAATTTCCTTCTTAGTGCTCTTTAAATTGTAGTGAGCATGTTGCTGTTATTTTTGCATGATTGCTTGTTCGATGTTTCAGTTTGATGTTACACCCTTAGCCTTGTTAGAGTAATCTCATTCGAGGACGAATGTTCCCAAAGGGGAGATATTGTAACTATGAAGAGGCTTAGAATTGGAAATTTTCATTTTTGGAAAGAATTCAAAAATCTGGAAAAATTGGCCATGTATGGAAAATAATGAATTTTTGGCCAACTTTGAACAGTTATAACTCCTAGCTCAGGATGATCTAGGTGTAGTTCCAGTTATGGTTTCAAAGTTCGTGGATTGGTCTTTCCAAAGACATCGAGTTTGCTCATTTCTGAGTTCGTATGAGCGAGTTATGCCCTTTGAAAGTTGGGCAATTGGCAGGGAATCCATCCAGAAATTGTAAGGGTATTTTGGTCTTTTCCCTAGCGTTGTCTTTGGATATATATTAAGGTGTAAGACTGATTTTTGATCAGTTTTTCCCTTTTTAAAAAGAGTAAGAGTTAGGGTTCTTGAGAGAAAATGAGAGAAAGGAGAAGAAGAAGCAAACTTCGTAAAGATCGTCGTGTTTTTCTTCGGGGGTGATCCCTATTAAGGTATGTGAGTTCATAGTGTTGGGTTGGTTCTTTCCCCCACACGCCAAGCTCGTTTAATTTCGAGAAAAGATTGATTATGTTTGATTGAAGTTGTTGGTTGGAATTGTTGAAGTTGTAGTTGTGTTGTGTTGTAGTCCTTATTGGTTTGGTGTATGTTTCCGGTGGTGTTTCTGAGTTGAATCTATTGTATGTTGAGAGGTTTATGATTTTAAGTGCTTGGGGCTGGAAACTTTGATGTGTAGAAGGTTTAGAGTTGGAGAAAACTAAGGAGAAAAGTCGCTTTTCGAGGAAAAAGGGTGGGGCGTCGCGCCTGTCAGCGCGCCCCAAGAGGGGCTCTGAATTTTCCCCCTTGGGGCGGCGCGCCCATCAGTGCGCCAGCAGACCTCCTCTGAAGTTTTTAGTCTGGCGCTCCGCGCCTCTCAGAGCGCCAAGTCTTCCCATTCCTTCCCCACTTTTTCATACATGTTCCTAGGTATTGTACCTATGTTTCATAGTTGTTTCCGACACTCCAAGGTACGTTTAAACGTCAAGAACTCGTCCATAACACGTGATCAAACACCTTGAATCCATGACTCCAACTCAAGAAGAGTTAGTTTCCAAGTCAAGTGAAGTTAAGAGTTGAGTTTAGAAGTTAAAGAAGTGAGTCAAGGTAAGTCTTTAAAGTCGTTCAAGAGTCTTTATTGAATGTTTTAACTTCATTTTAAGGCTCAAGTTTCAAGTCAAGTAAAGAGTAAGAGTCAAGAGTTTCAAGTTGAGTAAAGAGTTTAAAGTTGAGTACAGTTCTCAAATGTTATTAGGGAACTATGTAAACCCAAAGAAGTTTCTAAATGTTTTTACATTTGAGTAAGAAAGGAACTATGATTCCAAAAGAGCCTTTGGGCTAGTTTTCAAGAAAAAGGAACATCGATTCCAAGTGAGTCTTCGGGCAAAGTTTTGAGTAATTATCTCAAATAAAGAAAGATGTGTTTAAAACACTTATGAGCTAAGTATTTTTGGGAGTAGTCTTGAGCACCGAATTGGGAACACGAGTTCATATTAACTCAACTCTCCATAAGAACCATGCACCAACATGGGAGTTAACGGGTCATACTTTTTAGATGAATCCGTAAGATTAAGGTAGTGGATCCACTTAGTAAAGTTAGCTTCCTATATCACGGCAAGGTATAGGATGGTCCTTGGGCAACGTGAGGTAAAATGTTGTATCACCACTAGGGCTCATAGTGGTGATTGTCGGTTAAAGAATCTCCCACTAAAGTTATATTACTTTTATATAAGTAAAGTTGAGTTTGTTATCGTTTTATCCTTAACGAACTAAGTTGTTTACACTATTTTTTTTCAAGTTTTATATATTGCATGTGTCTTATTGCTTTATATATTGAGTTTAGTTATTCGTGAGTTGAACAGAGCGAAGGTAAGAGTTCCTTTGTACTCCTTCCAAGCTTAAGTTGAGGTTTAGCTTTCCAGCTCGCATACTTGTACATTCAATGTACTGATGCCAGTTGGCCTGCATCTTATGACGATGCAGACACAAGTACCCAGGGTCAGCATTCAGTACGCCGTTGATCCAGTTGAGCACTCCAGAGTCAGTGGTGAGCCTCTTTGTGTTCCGGAGGACTCAATTATGTTGTTCTTTTAGTTTTGTTTTATTAGGATGTTGCGGGGTCTGTCCCAACATCCATCTCAGTATTATAGAGGCTTCATAGACAGTCAGTCAGTTTGTTTTGAGTCTCTCATCTTTTGGGACTCGAGTTGCCTTTTTGGCCAGATTTTTATCAGTTAGGTTGTTTTATAACCTTACATTGCATTGAGTTATGTTGTCGAGTTAAGTTTCTGCTGAGTTAAGAAAGCCAGGCCAAGGGTTCGCTTGGGGGCCAGCAATGGTCTTCGAGTGCCGGCCACGTCCAAGGTGTAGGCTCGGGGTGTGACAATATGCCAAAAAGATTTAATATGTGAAGTAAATTTAGTTTACTACAAGCCCTAAATTAGAAGACAAAAAAAATTATAATTCCTAAAGAGAGAAAGGAGTTTGAATATTTGCTTTAGAATTGTAAAGTTTTTACCACAGTAATTTTACTATGATAGATCTAGTCATATAGTTAGCCCTTTTAATCGGGAATTGATTTCTATTTGAATTTTGAGACAATAATATTTTCTAGGTTTTAGAAAATTGGTGTTTTCACATATCTTTTTGCTTATTTTAAATTTAGAAAGTATTTTTATTATAAATTGTATTCTTACACTGCATTAAAAATATACCGTTCTTCCAACATCACTCTATAGCTTTCTTTCTTGTTTTTCATTCCTTCAGTATTTTTATTTTTTTTTCCCTAGTTTCTTCTCTTATAAAAGCTACACATATTTTATATTTGTATTTGAAAATTTATTAAAAATTCAGTAATTAAATTTTTCTAATACATAATAGAATATTTAAAATTATTAATTATTGTGATCTATTGTAATTTTCACGTAATTTTTAAATATATATTCTACAGTTAAGAGATGTGCGTTTGTAGCCTCTTATTAGATATCAAAATATTTTAAATTATTAATTATTGTGATTTATAGTATATTTTATGTAAATTTCAATTACATAATACAATATTTTAAGTTATTAATTATTTTGAGTTATACAACTTTTACTATAATTTTTAATTAAAACAAAAAGTAAGACAAATAAACTAAAACAAAGAGAACACTCAATCTTTCACAGTGGAGTACACCTTTTGCTTAGAAGCACACAACTCAAACAAACATATTGTCCAAATTTGCTTCCTAACCTCTTATATATATATATAAGAGAATACTTTTTTACAAAAGAGGTTTTTTATTAAAGGAAAAATTATCTGTCTAGACATACTTCACTATCATATATACATTGTTTACCTCTAGTTTAAAATTATTACATATAATATCATTTTTTAATAATTACACCATATATTTTAAAAGATTAAATCAGATACACAATCCTCTTAATTATGATATTGAATAATTATCTTATAATTAAATCTCTTTAATTAATAATTAATGAGACATTAACAATTCCAATTACTTTCTCTCTCTTTACACCATCCGCCGTTTCCCTCTCCAATATCTGTATGTATCTCTCGATTTTGTTGTCGCTTTTGCGAAGACGAAAAATTAAATTTACACCATGTCATTTGCTGGTAATTATTGGAATGATGAGATAATTATTTTAAATTTTAAATTATTTCAATAGCTTTAGAGTTCGTGTCTTTACTCCACATAGATACATGATGTATCTTTAATTTAATACACTATGTATCTATTATAGTTTAACAGGATATCCATATACTTTTTAATATCAGAAGTTATTGATATGTATCTCAACAATGAAACATGAGTATCTTAAATTGTCACATGTATCTGGAATAATATGTTATGTGTATCAAAAAATCAATATCATATTTAATTGATTTTGTCAGTTAGTTTCCTTGACGTTTTTTTAATTCCATAAAAAATCTCATGCCCACCTCGTTTCAAATTTCCATTATAGTTAAATTTTCTTTCATCGTGTATCTGATTTCTATTCTTTTGCAGGTACAATTGATTCCTAGTTGTTTTGAAATACCATCGACTAGATCGTTGTAGGTTGCATTATCTCTCAAAAGTATTCCATTAATTCTATTGTTTTCATATTTGATTTTAGAGATCCATGAATCCGAATGCATCAACAATATTGTGATATTCATCATCTGCAAAAAAAACTCAAAAATCTAAGATTCAAAGAAAGAAATTGATGAAGAAGATGAAGTTTACAATATTAGATTTACTAATGCTTATGATTTACATTTTTATCAAAAATAGAAACAGTTGATACGGATGGACCTAGAAAATACGTTTTGTTTGTTAACTTTTCATCTTTTACTTCTTTAATTAAGACAATAAGTTACAATATTTAATTCAAAAGTCTTAATTCATGTATCTCGGCCTTTAAATCACACATATACACGTATCTGATGGATCGTGATACACGTATCTCTCAGCTGAAAATGGTACAGAAAGTAATATAAAAAAATATCACGATGCCTAATAATTAGGATCTAAAATAGTAAAATTTATGTAGTTTACTCTTTTTCAAATTAACTGTGCCAGTTGGTGAAGTATTTTTTATTATGGCATATTGCCAAAATTGAGTGCTAAGCTTAGTAAATTGAGCTACTACTACTTAGTAAATTGGCAAATGGTTCGATTGGATCAAATTTGGATGGATTGAGCAAAATTGATTTGGATTACAATTCACCCAAATAGAATTTGGGTAAATATGGATTTGGTCAAATATGGTTTGGGTAAAATGGTTTTAACCCATTTAAAAAAATCTGTTTTTCAAAAAAATAAATTACCCCCTCCCCGAGCACCCCCCACCCCCCCCCCCCACCTTCCACCAACCTACCCTTAAAATATTTTTGTTTTCCAAAAACAAAAAAAAAATCTGATTTTTTAAAA